AATCTGCACTGGATTTATACTAAGTTTAGTTGTATATTAAATTAGAAAGAAATAGGCACTTTTGCAACATTGGGTCTCTGCTCAAATGTTACCTCCTCAGAGTGTCTTTCTCTAATCATTTTATATAAGCTGGGATCAGCGGTCACTCCATGTGTGACCACTAGAACCTAAGCTCCAAGAGGGTACGGATTGTTTTCAACAGACATCCAATGCTGTAAAGTTGTCAGTTCTCCCTAATCCAAACTTTAATTAAATGCAATGCATACTATGTTTCACCAAGCAGTCAAAATAGTGTCTAGCAAAAGTAGCTGTTGGGGATACAATAGTTACAAAAGAGGTAAGAAAACATGAATTATGCCCTCTCATCCAGAACACAGTGTCTCTATTTATTCAGGTCATTTTTCTGTTCTTCAGTTGAAATGAGTTTCCTTCATATAGGAACCTTGCACATTTCTTGTTTATTCCTCCGTATTTTAACATTTTTAATCCTATCGAAATAGGATTTTTTCCTATTAGATTTTCAAATTGATTACTGGTGTTTGTATACTGTATCTTCTCTAGCCACAGCTACTGAACTCTTGTTAGTTCTGATACAGAACTTAAGAGAATTAATGGGAAAACTTCCATTTACAAATAAAAACTGCCACCCTTCCTTTCTGATATTTATATCTTCTTCTTCTCTTTCCTCTATTTCCTATCTTATTGCTCTAACCAGAACCTCCAGGATAATACAGATGAACAGCAACGGCAGCAGGCAACCCTGCCTTTTTCTAATCTTTAAAGCGCAGTTTGCAACGACATTTTTTGCTGGTGTTTGGGATAGAGTTTAGATATTCCTCATTAAGGAAGTTTCTTTCTAATCCTAAGTGATTTTACTATTGCTTTTTTCTCCACCAGGAAAGACTGAAGTGTTCAGGTTTCTTTTTCATTAACCTGTAAATGTAATGTAAAGCACTTTCGGACTTTCTAAACTGACTCACTGTATCCAGAATAAAATCTAGCCTGTCATTGTGTATTATGCTTTAATATACCACTGGATTTGATTTGCAAATATTTTATAAATTTTTTGTGAGAACAATTTTATAATTATTTTTATTATAATTGAGAATTTTGTAATTGCATTTTTCATGAATTCCATACAGCTTAGGTTGAATTACTACTAAAAGGCAAGGAAAGATGAAGAGAGTAATTCATCTACACACTCTAGGAAGAGAATAAAGTTGTGACTATGTCTACTAATATTACAACTGTTATAATTACCAAAGGTGAACTTATGATGTAAGTGAAATTTGCCATGACAATTCTAATAAATTTGTTTAAAAATCTGTAAAATTTTGTATTAGTTTTTCATAATAAGAGTTTTAGGTTAATTAGTGGTATGTACTTGTTTGCTGTATTACCCATGAGGAGCTGGGAGAATAAAAATCAAGACTCAAACTGATTTAGTAACTTAAATGCCTTCACAGCTATCATGCCCCAAGAAAACTATGGTGTGCTTTGCTTTACTCTCATACAAACGTAGAGGTCTTATCAAAATCTAGGTACATCCATGGTGCTGAGCACATCAAATATGCTGTCACATGGAAATAAAGGTTGAGAACCACACTGAATCTATCCTGAGGAAAAAAGAGAGCCGTGTTCAAGATGACACAGCAGGTGACAACCACAGAACTGGAATCCAGAGACTGTGACCTCCAGTCAGGCCTCTTCTCATTACATCACCATCAACTGAGGTGGCAAAGAACTTCAGATGTCATCATGTCCCTTCACTTGCTTCTTCACTGAGACTGACGAATTCTAACAGATACAACATCCCTGACAGCTGCTTACTGTGAATACCCTCTCAAGTCCATTCACTCCCTTTGTCTCAAAGAACACAGAATTTCAACGTCCTTCCTGATTTATCCTGACAAAAGCCTTACTGCACAGCAGGTTTATATCAGTCTGCAGGTATAGAAAGAGAGGCAAAGACTCTTACAAGCTACAACCCATCTTCTAGTCTTGTTCTCTTCCTGAAACCATGTCTGCACCTTTGTATAGCACTTAATTTATACTATACCTTATATTTTACTTAATTTATATAAAATAGAGAATCACAGTACTTATGTGATAGAACTGTTATGATTAAATAAGTTAATACATACAAATATATTAAGAACAGTGCCTAACACATAAGAAAGTACATCATAAATATTAGCTATTATTTTTATTGAAACTTGTCAATGTGTACAAGGAGTTTCTAGGCCAAAGCTCTGACACTTTTTCCATGGAGAAGTGTCATAACTCCAAAGTCAGAAAGGTCCAAGATGTGTTTAACTTGACTTTCAAACCTGCTCCTTCTTCTGGCTTCACCAATATCACTGTCAGGTTGCAAATCTGACACTGATTCCTCAACTTTCCTGATTCTGATACCTAAGTCATCGCTAAATCTGATCAATTCTAGGCAAATTTGTTCTTTCCTCTCTGTAAGCACAGTCACCAATTGTGTTGAGCTCATTAACATCTTCTTCATTTATTTCAACAGCCACCAAGACCAGTCTCCCTGCTTTTCTTGTCCTCTATTTAATCCACTCTTCAGAGTTGCTGGAGTGATCGTCCTAAAAAATAATTATTTTATTCTGCTATTAAAACAAATTAGCAACAAAACCCTTGACAGATTCGGGCTTAACAGCAGCATAAAGCCTAAACTTCTTATAGGGTATTCAAACCTTCTGGATCCAAACTACTGTTCCAGCCCTTTCCCCTCGACACCTCAGAAAGGGACCTCTTGCTGCCTCTCAGAACACTGAACTCACTGTTTCCAGAACTCGTTTTGGGCCCCCTGCATTTTCCCATCTCCTTACCTTTGCTTAGATCTTACCCTCATTTAGAAAGCTCTTCTCTCCATCTCTGCCTATAAATTCTTACATTATGCCCAAGAAGTGCTTTCTGTCCCCTTTATAGCCTCAGAGAATTATATAGCTGGAATCACTTCATCTTACAAATAAAACTATGTGTGCATACACTAAAAGTGACTAATCAAGGTAACCAAGCAGTGAGGCCTAGAATTTAGATACAACTTCAAATCCTACTCTCTTTTCTTAAACCATGTCTGACTCTTTTCCATAGCATTTAATCATACTCTGTCTTGTATTTCAGTTATTTATGTAATTATCTGTTTCTCAACTCAACTATGTGAAGCCTAAAGGCAAGTTTATTCCAGACATAAAATTCTTGCAGCTTCACAGCAGTGCAAGAAACAAGACTGTTGGCAGTACCCAACCCCTAACTTTTAGTAAATGTCATCTTATTATAAAATCCCTGAACACAACTAAAAATTTCTTCATCTGAGGAAAATAATAGCTGCCATTCTCACAGGCATATAAGATTAAGCAGTGCATGTAAAACACTTAACACAGTGCCTGGGATATAATTTCAGGCACATAATTTTTAGTCTCGCCCTCCCCTCCTCCATTGTAGCCTGATCTTTCTACTATCCAGACCTACCATGACACTCGTTTGCTTTAAATCCGTCTACCACTCCCCATCACCTCACTTATAGGATAAAGTCCAAACTGCTTAGTCTGGCCTTATGGAATGTGCACCCCAGTCTTGCCTCAGCCCAAGGTACCTCTCCTGGCTCAGCAACTGCTGTGTCCCACCAACACTAGAGTCTCACCCAACAGCACTTGTCTCCCTTAACACAGAAGGTTCTGCTAAGCCTTCTCACTCTTCTGAGTTTCTGCTAATACAGTGGTTTAAAAGCATGAGTTTTAAATCAGACTGGGTTCACATTCCAGACTAGCTGTGTGACCTTGGGCAAATCACTTCTCTCAGGACCTGTTTCCTTAGGAGGCATGAGTTTTAAATCAGACTGGGTTCACATTCCAGCTCTACCACTTACTAGCTGTGTGACCTTGGGCAACACTTCTCTCAGGACCTGTTTCCTTAGGAAAGACCAATTATATCCCTCCTCATAGTGTTGCTAGGGTTCCATGAATTAACATATGTAAATCCTGCCTGACATCTAGAGAAGGCTTGATCATGTTTGCTATAATTAGTATTGTACGGTCTTCACTTCCCATAGTACTGAAAACACTGTATTGCCACTGCCTTTTTATGTCTGTCTCTCTATTACATTATAAACTCTAAGAGCAGGGGCATTACCTCTTACTTTCCAGTGTATAGTCATATGGTAATTATTCAAATGCTATCTCTTAAATAACTGAATGCTTTACAAGTCATATTACCAAACACCTTCCCTGAGCTGTTAGCAATTTCACGCTCCAAAATCTATCTCCTTTTTCTGTGGCTTCCTAGCTCCACTCTAAAGCACTCCGCACCGATGATGCTACTTTAAAGTGACTGTCTCTCCCTCGACTGTGAGCACCTGGAGTTGTATACTCGCTTCGCAGGAAGGTTTGAATATTAAGTGACATAAAATAAGTAAAGTGGCCCTGGTTGGTGCTTAGGAAAAAGTACCACTATTATTCACGTAAAGCAGGTCGCTGTGGGGGGAGGGGGAAATTTTTTACCACTGCGGGCTGGGGTGGGGCAATTCCGACGCTGAGGAAGGGGCTTCCGGGGATTGACCTGTGTATATGTTGGGGGACATGGGGTGGGGGTTCCAGGGCCCAGGGTCTGCTGAGTCGAAGCAGGGCTGGGCCCGGGCCCAGGCCCAGGAAGCTGCAGCCCCATGCACCGCTTGCCTGTCCTCCGGACGAGCCTCACCTCCTGCACTTTCAGATCCTCCAGAGTAGGCAGCTCCACTATCCCCGGCATGGTGGCTGTAGCCCCGACCCGGACGAGGCAACCGCAGCCGCGTCGCCCCGTCTCCTTGAACTCCCCTTTCGACCGCCAAGGGCCGCCAGGCGCCTGCGCATGCGCAGCTGACGGCACGCAGGCGCACTGCTCTGACCAACTGCGAGCCACAGAGCGTGCGCAATGCCGGGAAAGTTTTAAACTCTGGAGGCGGGGCTTCGCTTAGGCTCCGCCCATCTTTCCTGGTTGTCATAGTGAGGCGTTATTTACTGATACTCCGGGATCTCAACCGCTGTAAGCTAGAGGCAGGTGCCATGGAGTACACGGGGAGCCAATATATTGGGGAATTTGTAGATGGAAGGTAAGGGCCTCATTTGATTCACTATGTCTTGAACATCTGTGACTGGGAAAAGACAGCGCTCTTTTTGCCTTTGAAAAGGACATTGTACCAGCCACTTTCACGACTATCCCTTTTAACCTTCAAAACAACAATTTCAGGTAGAATTGTTTATTCTCATTTTACAGTTCAGAAAAATGAGAATAAAGAAGTGGAGTAACTTGCTCAAGCGGCAGAGCTGAGATACATTCATTCCATATATCCTTGTGCATATGTGTGTTTGCTATCTGCCAGTTTTAGGTATGAGGATAAGAATATAAATAATGCCCAGGTCCTTGCTCTCATAGTGGTTATAAGCTAGTTGGTATATTGCCAATAAATAATAACTGAGATGATTGTTTCAGATAGTGACTTTATCTGAATCTTTTCCTCCTCACTGTAAACCAATGAGATAGATATCATCATCCCCATTTTACAGATGGGAAAATGAAGCTCAGCTCAGAGTAATGACATAATTTGCCCAAAGTGACCTAGTTGACATTTGGCAGAGCTCTCTAGAGTGCTCCTGCTGGGCCCCTACAGAGGACACACTGAGTTGGGGCAATCCTTGAAGGCTTCATGGAGGAAATAATATTTGAAATGGGCCCTGAAGCCTGAGGAGGGTTTAGGTGTGTGGAGATACAAGGTGAAGAATATTTCTAGGCAGAAGGAACAGCACGAGCAATAACTCAAAGGGCGTATAAGGAGAAGAGCAGGCAGTTCAGTTTGGCCAGAGTTTAGGGTGTGCCCAGAGGAGAGTGGAAGTGGAAGCTGGAAAGATGGGTCTGTGCTCTGGCCTAGGGAGATTTCAATACTGTGCAGAATTCTGTGGGCAGGAAGAGCCACCGATAGATCCTTGGCAGGGCTAAGCATTAGAAAATCTGTTTTATCTCTGCATCCCTCCTCATAGTGCACATGTCTGCTAGGCACTCAGTAAATGTTGGTTGAATAAATTAATAAGAGAATTAACGAATGAACGATGTTCGAGATATGATCATTGTATCCTCATTATGGATTGAAGTCTTCATGATAAAGTAGCTCTATTTTTGTTCTTTTTAACTTGAATTTAGAATGAAGGCTTTTCACCTTGAATAAATGAAAGAAAAATGAAAGGGGAGGACAGAAAGAGGAAGGAAAGGAAGGAAGGAAGGGAGGGAGGGAGGGAGGGAGGGAGGGAGAGGGAGGGAGAGAAGGAGGCAGAGTGGAGATAGGGAGTTCAGGTCAGAGCCCATTGCAGTTGTCTCTGTAAGAGGCAGCAGGATCCTGGGCCATAGCAGAGGCGTGGGGCTACAGGAAGGAGAAAAATGTAGATCTTGGATTGGAGGACTTCACTGCCAGAACTTGGCAACTGATAGGCTCCCAGCCTAACTCAGAGACTGTTTCCAGTCTCAGCCCAGTGCCCAGCTCCAGGCTTTGAACCTGGAGGATTCTGATACCATTCATGGAAATTGAAAACTCTGCAGAGAGGCTGCTCCGGAGGAGGAGAGAATGAGGTCCATTCTGGGTGAGCTGGAGATGTCTGTAGAAGGTCTGTAGAAGGACAGTGATGACCAATTTGCAGTAAAAAAAAAGGTGGAGGTCTAATCTCAGAGAAGGGTTTAGATAGAAACTATGTTTAGAAATTATGTGATCTCAAGCAGAGGTAGTGGAAACAAAGACTTCTTTCTGCAGTAGATTAAAAGCAAAATCGTTTTTGAGCTCTTAGTATATAGCAGGCATTCTGCTATAGTTCCAAAGCCATTATCTCATTTAATTATCTCAACAACTTTGGGGGGTTATTGTCATTATCCCCATTTTACAGGCGAGAAACTCAGGCTCAGAGAGGTGAAGGGGCTTGTCCAAGGCCACACAGGCACAGAGAAGCGGATCCACGACAGGCCTGGCTCAGAAGCTGTGCTTTAACCGCAGCGCTCTCCTGCTTTGGGCTACAGTGGCATCTGTCATCCATTCAGTCAGCTTCTTTGCCTTTGTTTTTTTCATTTCTTACTCAGTAGATGTTTATAGAGCACCTGTTTAAGAAGAAACATGATTCTAATTGCCGAGGATACCGAAGCCTTCCTCTCAAGATGCTTTGCATAAATATGGGAGAGGAGATCTATAATTATAATGCAAAGCAGAAAGTGCTAAGCATCCGATAGAAGTACAAACAAAAGCCTGAAGAAGTTAGGAGCCGTGACTTCCAGCTAGTGGGGAAGAATGGAGAATTAATGAAGGTTGGAATGAAAGCATATTTTATATGTCAGGCCGTTGACCAGGAAACTGTTACACATTATCTGGGTTAATTTTGGGCATTAATCTCAGCCTTTCACACGTGAAGAAATTGGTCAACGGGTTGAAGTGTCCCTGCCCAGTGCTTTTGTGGGGGCCTGTCTTCCTACTTCATGACATTTAACACCCTTTATGTAATTGCTTAATTGTGTCCCCCAATAGACTGTGAGCCCCACCCCAAGGGCAGGGACCGCCTCGATCACATTGTGTCCACGTTGTATCCAGCAAACCAAACTCAACAAGACACCTGGAATGTGCGTGTAAATATTAGTTGGAAAGAAGGAAGAAACAAAGGAAGGAAGGAAAACAGAAAAAAGAAAGGTTTAGGAAAGTCTCCAAGATGATACATCTAGGAAATGATGAAGTAACATTCGAACCCATGTATCCTGTCCAAGTTTCATAGTTTTCCACATATCCCACTTGTAGTGTAATGGGCAAGGGGGTGGCGGGGGGATGGTCTTAACAGGAAAGACACAGAACCGACTGCCAGGAAACCTGGCCCTAGTCTCTGCTTCAGGGTATTTACTAGGGGGCTTTGGGCGCATCCCTCTCCTCTCTAAGCCTACCAAGGGGTGTTCCCCGGGACAGTGTAAGACTCCAGGACAGCCTCTAGGAAAAAGGAAGGAGGAACAGGCCAAACTCTGCCCACCCTCTTTCAACAACACAGCCCCTTTTATTTTTGAGCTATTGAGAGGAACAAAACAAAAAATTTTGATTTTGAGCAGAATATTGCTGGGACAATAAAGTCTAAGGACTCTGAGGATGAGGTTCCCACTTGCTCTCCCGTGCCTGCCAGCTCCGATCCTCCAGCTGCTCTGCAGGGCTCAGTGATTTTCCCTTTGTCCTTACAGGATGGAAGGCAGTGCAGAATACATCCTCCCTACCGAAACCAGATACGTTGGGGAGATGAAGGACGGTGTGTTTCACGGCCAAGGAACCCTGTACTTCCCCAGCGGGAGCCGATATGATGCCATTTGGGAAAACGGATTGGCCACTAAGGTGATCGGCCTGGGAGAGGGGCTGCAGAGGGATAAGCCTCAGACAGGAAGAGCCCTCCCGACACGTGGCACCTGGCCTTCTCTATCAGACGCCCTGTTCTTCCCTCCTCTTGCTATCGAGGGCTCTGGGGTCCTCTCTCCCCGATCCAGAGGGCCCCTAGAGAGACCACGATGAGTTTGAGTACTGTTAAACCACTAACTGTGTGACCTTGGGCCCATGACTTCCCCTTTCTGAGACTCTTGTTCCTTGTCTAATAAGTTGGGGGCAAGAGTTGTATTAGTTTCCTCTTGCTGCCGTATTGTCTAATAAATTGGGGACAAGAGTTGTATTAGTTTCCTCTTGCTAACAAATTACTACAAACCCAGTACCTTAAAACAACGGAAACTTATTATCTTACAGTTCTGGAAGTCAGAAGTCCAAAATAGGTCAGCAATGTTGCATTCCTCCTGGAGGCCCTATGGGAGGTTCCATTTCCTTGCCTTTTCCAGCTTCTGGAAGCTGCCTGCATTCCGTGGCTCGTAGCCACGCATCACTCTGACCTCTGCTCCCGTCATCACATCTCCTCCTCTCCCTCTGCTTTTGTCATCACCCTATCTTCTATCATTCTGACGCTCTTGCCTCCCTCTTCTAAGGACCTTTGTGATTACATTGCCCCCAGAATAATCCAGGATAACCTCCCACTTCAGGATCCTTAACTGAATCCTATACATCTACGTAGTCTACTTTGCCGTGTATACTCAGCGTTTTCACGGATTCCAATGATTAGACGTGGGCATCTTTGGGGACCGTTATTCAGCCTGCCACAAGAGTACTGGGCATCTCTTAAGCTGGCTGCGAGCGCAAATGAGGCAGTCTCCATGAGTCTACACGAGTCTACATAGGCTCTCAATAAGTGTCAGCTCTTAGTTACTGCCGGCGCTGCTGCTACTATCATGATAAGTCATCCAAGGCTTCTTAACCAGATTTGTGGGACATGGATAGAATTTGGGAAGTCAGTGAAAACTCCTGATTTATATATAAAAGTTTCTGTGTGTATGGGACTATAGTTTTCTCCGGGGAAATGATCGATGATAGCTTACATCCGTTTCACTAAGTGTGTAACAGGGCTGGCTCATGACCAAAAAAAAAAGTTAAGAAACACTCCTCATTTTACAGCTTGGAGAATCTGAGCCCCAGGAAGGGAATGTGACTTACCCAAGGTCATGCTGTGAATTAATAGTATTGGAATTTCCACCCAGGTTTCCTGCCTCTCAGGCCAATGCGATGTCTGCATCCTGGGCTTCCTCTAACACTAAGACAGCAAAAGCAGAATGTGCATGTTTGGACAATGGGCAGTGACTGATGGCTCTGACCTTTTTAACTAAGATAACCTTAAAAGGATGATAATAACTTTACATGTATTGAGTTCTTACTATACGCCAGGCGCTGTGCTAAATGCTTTGCTTGTACTATCTCCTCGACTCTCATTGAATCAACGCTATTAAATATATACCATTATTATCCTGATTTTACAAATGAGGAAACCAAGGGCTAGAGAAGGTAGGTCATCGGCCCAAGGTCGCACAGGGAGTTGCCGTATTTTGAGTGCCTGGCACCGAGCTCAGACTTTATATCCATTCCCTCTGAGCATCACAGCCATAGTAACTGTGATAGTTAGCACTTCTTTTCTGTGGCAGCGAGAAAGCCACCTCTTCCCTGATATCTATCCTTCCTGGCAAAAGAAAGCCCACCTGTGTGCTTCCTCAGGCTCACCTGTGTGCTTCCTCAGGCTCACCTGTGTGCTTCCTCAGGCTCACCTGTGTGCTTCCTCAGACTCACCTGTGTGCTTCCTCAGACTCACCTGTGTGCTTCTTGGCTTCCAGGGCACATACACCTTCTCGGACGGGCTGCAGTATGACGCAAAGAACTGGCATTATTGCGACAGCTATGATCGGAGGTTTTACACCGAGATCTGCCACGGCTTGAAGCCTACAGGTACCCGGGCACCCTTCCTTTCCTTCACACCCGAACCGAGAGGGAAGCAAAAGACAATTTTAAATAAATGGGCCGCGACCTATTGAAGTAACCCACAGGAGAGGAGGAATCGGGCAGGGGCCGCAGAATGCACGAGAGTCAGGTTCTAGAGCCAGGAAGAGGAGACATTACATCCAAAATAGCAGATGGGGAAAATGACTTTGCAAACGGCAAAAACAAATATTGACTTGTGAGATATCGTGGTGTGGTCAACAGGGCGTAGAACCGGAAGGTCTGAGTGAATAGCTGGAAGAGCCTGAGCAAGGCCACCTACTCCATGAGGGTAGAAGAAGCCTCCAGAAAGCACCCAGTGTTGGAGCCAGGCCGACCTGAGCTCAAACCCAGGCTGTGTGACCCTGGATCAGTTAGTGGACCAGGGAAACCTCACTCTCCCATTTTCTTCCTCTCCCCAGTCTCTTTGCCTCCTCCTCCCCCCAATTATTAATTTGGGGGTTCCCCAGGGCTCTCTGGCTTAGGCCCTCTTCTGTTATCATTCTGTACTCTCTCCCTAAACAAGTTGACTCACTTCTAAGCCTTCATGTACCATCAGCTTCCAAACTGAAGTCAACTCCCCGAGCCTCAGATTCCGGCATCCAGCTTCCCCAACACCTATATTTGCTCATCCCTCAACTTGTCTGCACTGAATTCACTACCTCCCCACCAGCTCACTGTCCCCCAGTGATTGTGTCCTCAGAGACTGTCACTCTCATCTTCCTAGACAAGCCTAATCCTACTTTCTCCTCCCCCATGTGCAATCAATCACCTGGTCCTGTGGATTCTGCCTCTTAAATATATTCCACTCATTTGTTCAGTGAACGAATGTCTCCTGAGCACCCCCATGTGCCAAGCCAGGTTTCCTTCATCCTTCCTGCCATTGGCTTATTCCAGACCTCCATCCTCTCCCCTCCTTTATCTGGTCTCCTAAGATCCATGCTTGACCTCCTCTGGGCCACTCTTCACTCTATAGTCACTTAGATGTTTGAAAAACCTGAATCTGATTGCCAACCTCCCCACCGCCCCCCCACACCCCACCACACACACCCTACCTTTGGTGCCTCCTCATTACACTGAAGATAAGGTTCCAGATTCTTAGAATGACTTGCATTCTCTGGCTCATCCCACACTGCCTGCCCGTCTCAGACTTTCTCTCTCCTCCCTTGCCATGCTTGCTTTCTCTCTATCCCTCGAAGAGACCATGCTCTTTCCTGCCATTCCCTGTGCCTGGAATGCTCTAACCCTCTCTCTTAACCTAAATAACGCATTCCCACCCTTCAGGTCTCAGTTTAATGTCTCCTTTTCTCGGATCCCTTCCCAGACCAGGCCAGGTCTCCCTATGGCATGTCACAGAGCGGCCATGGTTTCCCTCCAGAGTTTATCGTGAGTGCTCAGTATCTCTCTTCCTGAGCCGACTGTGAGTTCCGTGAGGGCGGGGTCTCTGTTTCATTCATTGCTGTGTCCCCACTGCCTAGGACATTGCCTGGCACATAGTAGCTTAATAAAGAGTTGTTGTCAGACAGGGACAATAATATTGACATCACAGCGAGGGCCGATGGGGTGCACATAGGGGAGTTAAGGTGATGATGTTAACATTTCCTGAGCACCTGCTCTGCGTCAGAAATTGGCTGGGTCACAGGGGACCGAGAGCTGATAGGACACATCTCTGCCTACTGAAAGCTGCCAGTCTGGATGCCACTTGACAAGCTGGTGAACAGCTCCCCCCTGGGTTACTTATGACAGGGCCTGGGCTTTGTCGTAAGCTCTTGAGCCCAGCAGAGGCCTGAAGGCAAAGAGCGCCTAGCTGCAGGCCCTGAGATCTCACCCCGTGGCTGATTTTGCCAAAGCCAGGCCTCTGCGAGACTTGTAGGCGGTGCAGAGACCTTCCCTGCACCCTTCCCTTCTCTTCCTGTGACTCCCAGCAGAGCAACTTGATCCTGAGTACCCACTTCCTTCCCAGGTCACTCAGCACTCTGCATACCTCTCCAACAGCCACCTCTCAGCCCTGGGGCAGACGTCGTTAGGCCAGGGAGAGGGTGAAGGCTGCCCCTTCACCTCTCTGTGCATCTGTGAGATGGGCACCTGGCATGGAGTATGTGCTCAGTAATCGTTATCAAGTGGAGTACCTAGTTATCATCATTAGCCAACATAAGAGCACCTACTGTGTGCAGGCCCCTGAGCTGTGAGCATGGAGCAGGGGGCATCCAGCCATCAGTCCAGAGGACAGGACTTACAGGAACCACAAATTAGGCAGAACTGGAAAAGTTATTTATTCTAACCTGTACCCTTTGCTCAGGCCTCAGCACTTCAAGATATACTACACCGAATGGCATGACCTAAAAGGCGTAGTGACTCCTCTCTCTCGTGGTGGTTCTAATGTCCCCCATCCTGGAGGTGGTGCCCAGACCTTCTACTCCCCTGATGTTGGCAGCTTAACATATAGGTTACAAAACTGGGTATCTAGCTGCTTCCTAGCTGGATAACCTTGGGCAAGTTACTTAACCTCTCCGAGCCTCAGATTTCTTATCTGTAAAATGGGGCTAGAGGATTGCTGTGAGAATTAAGTGAAATATTAGGAGTCAAGCCCTTAGCACAATACCTGGCATATAATAAGCACTCCGTAAAAGGCAGCTATTATAGCAATTTTGGTGAAAGTCAAGGTTCTCTATTACCTGATCCCTGCCCACCTGACCCATCTCCTTCCCACTGTTCTTCCAACACGTGCCCTGCTCCATAGGTTTCCCAGGTAAGGCGCGATGGCTCACACCTCTGGCCTTTGCCCACACCTCAAATGCCACTCGTCTCCTAGGCTTGCCTTCTATCTGTATGGCCAACCCTGAGGCATCCTCAGGTTCTCTCCGACTCCAGAAACTGTGCCCTCGTCATGGTGTCCCTGGAAATGGAAGATGGGGGTCACAGAAAGAGGATGGGGGTCTAGTTCCCAAGACCTTTCTCCCAGAGCCGTTTTCAGGATGCTCCTTCGGGGGGCCACTGCTTCGGCTGCTTCTGCTCCGGACCCCCAGTGGGGAGTGTTTAGTCCAACAGGGGAGCCAATGTTCACCTGAGCAACCAGCGGAAAGTGGACTTTGGCAGGGACTTGGTTTGACTTTGGCCTTGGTGGTGAATTAATTATCCATTATATCCTTCCAAGGGATCTCTCAACTCACCAATATGGACCCGCCTAGAAAAATCCCTGAAGGCTGTTATGACTGTGGAGATGGCTTCTATAACCCGACCACGAGGGTAGTCAAGGATTATAGGAATCGCTTCCTGAGAAATGCAGGTATGTTCATTCTGACACCTTGTGGCACACGTCATCTCGTCTTTCATCCACACGTGGGTCCGTGCACGTGTGGCCACGTGTATGCATGCATTTGGTGAGAAAGAAGCTTTTGCTGATGAAAGACAAACACTGGTTATCTGAACGTTTCACTATTTAGCATTCTCACGACTGTCAAATCTAGTTAGAGCGTCAGTGGTCTGACTGTGACAGCACATAATACAGCACGGAAAAGATTAAAATATTTCCTTTTGCATGCTCCCCTTTAGCTAGTCTTTAATGAATACCTACCACATGCCAGACACTATGCTTGATGTGGGCACCAAAACACGGCAAAGCTAGGCACAAACCCCTTCCTTCATGGAGTTTATATTTGACAGGTAGCAGACAAGGACTATGAACAGTTGAGTAAATCCTAGAATAAGCACGAGGAAAGGGAAAAACATGGCCCTGGATGGAGGGAGGAGGAGGGGCACAGAGAGGTGGGCATGATACTGTGGGAGCACAAAGAAAGTGTACCTAATCCAGAACTGGAAATTCAGAGGCGGTTTCAAGAAGGAAATGACAGTTAAGCCGAGGCGTAAGGAATAATTGGGAGCTGACCACAAGGCATGGGGAGAGGTTTCCCAGCCAGAGGAGACGGCACAAGTAAAGGCCTAGATGTGAAGGATATACCGTGCAATCCAAGAAGGCTGCTTGGCCCCACAGCCAGGGGGGGTACCTTGGAGGTTCCAGAACCTCAGTTTGGTGAGTGAACACAAGCTGACCGACAGTGACCAAACTTACAAGAAGCCAATATACAAATAAAGACATGAATGTTTTCCTTTAACACAATGATTCCTAACCTTTCTCTTTCCTAGAGTCACAGTTCTCCTAGGAATAACAAAAACTACAGATCCCCATCCTAGAAAAAAGCCCACACATGCACACACACAAGCATACATGTACACACACACACACAAACACAAATACACACACATTCTGCATATAGTCTTAAGAGGTTGATGGTCCCCCTAACAACCCAGGTCAAGAAACGCTGTTCTGTAATAGAAAGACACTACCAGGTAGACCAGAAGGCCTGTACTGGCTGCTGAGAGCCCCCTCTCCCTATAGGGAAACTTATGGAGTAAGGCAGAGTCCTCTTTCCCCCATCGTATAAATTAGTTAGGAGATGGGGCAGCAGGGAGCATGTTCGTGGAAGTAGGGTTCCATGGAACATGTTTTGTGAATTTTGTGTTAGTTTAATCTTTCTTTCATTGCAGTACAATGCAACAGACTCGTTTTCAGCTCTCTAGGTTCGAACCGTATTCCAGTCTTGCCTCACTGGTCTCATAGAGTCTCACAGTCTCGTGGGGGAGTCAGACACAGAAACATACAATCACAATATAATGTGATGTGGGCCCTGGTCAGGGGAGGCCCTGGAGGAGGAGGGGAAATTGAGGAGGAGGGGGGAATGAGGAGGAGGAACTGATCACCTGGCCGAGATGGAGAGTATCAGTCAGAAAGAAAAAAAAAAAGTCCCAGAAGTGATGGGTCTTAAAGAATGAGGAGGGATTTCATAAACAGGAGTTTTGGAGGAGGGCATTCCAGGCAAAGGGATCAGCATGTGCAAAGACACAGAGGCGTGTAAAAGCATGCTTTGACTGGGGAGTCAGAAATTGTGTTCCCAGAATCCTGTGGGCTAAAGCCATGCTGGATGATAAACTTCGAAATGCATTATGGGGATGAACAGATGGAGCGCAGAAGATTTTTAGGGCAGCGAAAATACTGCGTACACTAAAATGATGGATACGTGTCATTATACATTTGTCCAAACCCACAGAGTGTACAACACCAAGACTGAACCAAGACTGGGTGATGACGTGGTCAATGTAGGTTCATCAGTTGTAACAAAGGTACCGCTCTGGTTGATCATGGAGGAGGCCGTGCATGTGTGGGGCCGGGGGGAGAGGGGAGATCTCTGCACCTTCCTCTCAGTTTTCTTGTGAACCTAAAACTGCTCTATAAAACCACCACCACCACAACAAAAAACTCTTTTTAAAATGTGTCATGGGAAGGGAAGGCCAGTCTTAGGATGTTTGGGGAAGAATGGACACTGATGATTCTCTGGTTAACAAATACTTTCTGACTACTTGCTGTGGGTCTGGCTTTGCGTTAGGCATGAAGGTGATAGCAGCATCATAGAATCTTCTCTCAGGGTGCAGGAGAGAGTGACAGTAAAATGAATCATAACGACAGAGTTGCTGCAAGAGAACCTAGTAGGGATACCTAGCCCTGGAGGCCAGCGGGCCAGGGAGGCTTCCTGGAAAAAGCAAGAGCTAATAAGAACCTAAATAAGAGCAGACAAGTGCGCCGGGGTGGGGAAGGCAGAGGACACGGTATGTGCAAGGGATTAGGGGTGGGGAGAACCCTGCATCCAGGGGGCTGCCGAGTAGTTCAGTGTGTCAGGGAACGAAGAGCAAGGGAGGAAACCCAAGGGGTGGGAAAGGTGAGGGCAGCAGGAAAGATCATGGGTGTCTTTCCATTTGAGGGCAGTGGGGAGCAACGGAGGGTTTCAGGCGAGTGGAGCAGTAATCGATTTGTCCTTTAGAAAGATTTCTCTGGTTACATCTAGAGAAGGGGCCAAAGGGGGTAAAATGCGATAGGAGATCCTTCTGTCAGGACAAGAGAAGGGCATCCGAAGGACCCTGGGTCCCTGGTGCTGGGATAGAGACCTGGGTTCCCAGTCCTGGACCCAGCTCTCTGGCTGCCTGCTGGCTGACCGCCGGCCAGTGCCTTCCCTCTCTCGGCCTCTTTCTCGTCATCTGTAAAGTAAGGGCATTGGGCTGAATAATTTCTAGGGTCCTTCCAACCTGAGGAGTCTGTGACAGCAGAGAAAGGTAGCCAAGAGGTCCTGATATTATAGGACAGATCAAGTTCAGAGTGTCCTGCAAACCACTAAAAGGAAGTCTCTGTTCATGGCCACCTAGTCATTACCTTTTACTCGGCTCACCCTGCCAAGGACTGATTTGGGCATCTGTCTGCCTTCTGTTTTTCCCAGGGCCCTTCCTCCCTGCGTTCCGGTCTGCCCCCACAAACATTGCTTCCTGTTGACATCCCAAAGGCGCAGGGGCGCTAGCCATTCAGGCCTGGGGTGGGTGGCTGAGGCCTTCCCAGAGTAAAGGCAGTGGCCTGAGCCATTGCTATTATGGAGCTCGTGCCACCTGGTGGGTCAAGAACAGGGGAGGCTCATTTTACGGGAGGGCTCACAGGCTGGGACACCAAGGAGGTTGCCTTCGGAGCGGAGCCTCAGCTCCACCATCTGGTGCTGGCTTCTTTTCCCCAGGTAGAGAAGCCTATTGCAGGCCTGGCTGGAAAACTTTGGACTCCTAAGCTGCAAGCTGCAAGCATGCTTGATAAACCTGGGTCTCCTAGACTTGGGTTTCTGAGAATGTCTTTCTTAAGTGGGAGGATGGTACCTGCTTACTGGATCCATCCTTCCACTCATCAAAAAGTCTTTCACTGCCTACGATGTGCCAGGCTTTGGGGATCCAGGCAAGCAAGAATTCTCTGGGATTGTGGCTCTCAAACTTTTGGACTCTGGCTGACAGTGAGGAAAGATTTACATCATGACCCAGAACACACGCAAACACACACACATATGTATGTATTCTTTGCACATAGGATGTACTCTGGTATTTTCTATTCTATTTAATTGTTTTACTTGCTGGTTGCTATACACTAAGTTGATTTCATAATCCTCTTAAGGGTCCAGACCAGCAATTGGTGGTTTGTTATGCTAAGCAGCCTTCTTTAACCAACCTCTCCCTCTCTCCCTCACTCCCTCCACTGCTCTGTCTGGGGTAAGCGTCCCTCCTCGGTGCCCCCACAAGTCTCCCTAACGGCACTTAGCCTGTGACAGTAGAAGTAGCTTTGTTTGCCTGTCTCCCCACCAGACTGAGAGCTTTTTGAGTGCAGGGACTATGTGACTATATCTGATTCGTTACCAGGTCCCCTGCATCTCACACAGGTCCCACAAGTCAGATCTGACTCATTGTTTATAAAAGAGGGCAGGCAGGCAGAGGACCTGCCTACAAGTCCCTCATCTCCTTCAACAAATTATACAAAATTCAGCCCCAGGCACATAATAAACAGCTTATTATTTTTAGTAATAAAAACAGTCTTTTACATTCACGCGCTGCTATACAGCGGGGATACGTTCTGAGGAACGTATCGTCGTGCGAACATAGTAGAGCGTACTTACACAAACCTGGATGGTATAGCTTACTGCACACTTAAGCTGTATGGTAGAGCCTATCGCTCCTAGGCCACAGGCCTGTATAGCAGGTTACTGTCCAAAACAACACGAGACACGGTAAACGCGAGATACATGAATACACTCTCAAATAATGATAACAAGTATAGTATAGTAAATACATAAACCAGTACCATGGTCGTTATTATCATTGTCAAGTATCGTGTACGCTACGTAGTTGTATGTGCTATACTTTGATGAGGCTGGCAGCACAGTAGGTTTGCTCACGCCAGCGTCACCACCAACAGGTGAGCAATGTGTTACACTACAACCTCGGGGTGGCTATGATATCGTTGGATGATAGGAGGTTTTCAGCTCCATTATAATCTTATGAGACTGCCATCATATATGCAGTCTGCTATTGACTGAAATGCCATCATGCAGTGCGAGACTGTGTATTTTTCTGCACCTCGCAGAGCTTAAAAGCTTACGCATCACAAGTCTCAAAGCAGTGGCTGTCATCCACAGCAAGGGGACACAAAGAGGAGAAACGCATGACCACTGTGGGGGGGCCTCGCCAGGTCCCTGCTAAGCGCCTTACCTGCTCATCTCCTCTGCTCTTTCCCACCATCCCAAATGGGTCACTTTTAAGGAGCCACAGTTTGCGATGAGGACACCTGGTCTCAGTTAGGTTGATAACTTGCTCCTGGTCACACAGCTGGCGGCAGAGTCAGGGTCGAACCCAACTCTGCCCAAACTCTGTTTTTTGATTCCTCTTCCCGCTTCGGGTCATAGTTTATTCTTTTCTCAACTATCTCTGCTCCCCGTCAGGGCCCTGCCTCATTCACAGTTGCTCCTCTACCGAGCACGGTTCCTGGCACCCAGGGGGACCTCAGTGATGTTTCTAAACAAATGAAAAGGTCTGTTTTAGAGTTGTAAGACAAAGATGCCACAGTTCCCAAACTGCTACCTTCTTTGATAAAGGGTCCTTGACACCCCGTGGGCCAATAAGGAAGCATTTGAAGATATATGAGATGGTTAGCTTTTAATATGGTGGGAAACTGGGAGATAACGCCAACCCTTCCCTCTCCTACCCCCACCCTCCCTTTTCCTCTCAGAAAGGATAAGCCAGAGCCGCCGTTAGCCGCTTGTACGTGTGTCTCTTCCTGTAGCTGTTGCTTGCCTCAACGTTACTAGCAGGAATCGTGTGCAAAATAACCGCACCACTAATCCCTACTCCCTCCCCGCAATTAATGACACCCCAGGCGAATGTCTCAGATGAAAGGCACATTATTAATATTCAAAGGAAAAAACCCTCGTAACCATTTTAACATATACAACGAACAATGAACTAAATTTGCTTTGTGGAAGACAGAGAGTGAGCATCCCAAATTAGTTTATGTGAAAGCTGAAATTCTTCCCCGAAAGGTCTCAGTACCATCCTCAAAGAATATCCTGATCATCAGAAATGCCGTCAAGATTCCCGCCAACATTATCCCCTTTGTTGTCTGAAATGTCGAATCAAGCACATCTGGCAAATGTCCTAGAGCTCACAAATCTTTCAAACAGCGTATAATTCCCAGTGGTTAGAGAGA